TGGAGTAACGAATTTAATCTTTTTAGCAGTTCTGGTGATTTCATAACGCCGTTCAACAATCTCATGAAAAGTCCTTAATCTTAATGCTTCTCCGGGCGACAAAACTGTTGTTTGTTCTTTTCTTAAAATAAAATTGGTGCTTTATTCTCTCAATTATGTACACAATTTTTGCATAATTAAGTGTAACATATATCTTTCTAATATTAATTATAATTATTTTATTTTCAGAGCTTTGGTGGTACACACATTGTTCTACGTGTTCTTCTTCTTTGCCATGAAGGCGTTGTGCGTCTATCTTTTAGGAACTTTAGGTTTAGAAATTTCTGATTGGCTGCTTTTTGGATTAGCTGGAATTTTGACTTTGGCTTATCATGAACTCTGATAAATTAAAATAAATCATCTTTTGAAAATAATTTATGAAAACCATATTTTATTTGTTTTAATAATATCACAATAATGTCTTCATAATTAGGATTATTGACATTGAAATCATCATGTGCGAGTATGTTTATAATTTATGTCATATAGGATCTTATATCATAACTTAATTATTTTATTATTGTTAACACTGTTGTCTATTGATAATTATAAATTACTAACATGCGTTATGAAAATATCCTTATTTGCAATGATATTGTTCAAAATTATCTGAAAATATTCACCATGACTATTTTTTATTTCTCAACGTTGAATAGAATGAGATTGCATTTAGGCGCGACATTTAAAATACTTAGGCGCAATCCTTAATTGTTCGAATTTTTTAAACATTTTTTTCATTATTTTTATTATTACTTTTATTACTTTAATCAATATAGTAAACGACGACTTTATTCTAAAAATTAACGGAACCGTTATTACTTATAATAAATCATAACTTTTATTATCATTGGCTAAAAATATCATTTAAACTTCATATTTTTTATTTACTAGATATTTTTTTATTATTTCATAATATTTAAATTATTGAAAAATATATAATTATTAAAAAAATGTACATGAACAAATTATTATCTGAAAATATATTGTTATTGGTTACATGTGAATGTTGGTAAAGATTTATAATTTATTTAATAAAAAATCTAGAAACTGTTGATTTTTTTTGTTTTGTTATTTTCAGTTTTCATATTTTTATTTTTTTTGACATTGTTACAATTTTTTCGGGAAGGGATTTTTTTGTATATTTTATTTTTTTTACATTTTTGTAGCAAAATGGGTGACACCACTCCTACATATAAATGTGTTTTTGATAGGTGATGGAGGAACCGGAAAAACCACTTTTATTAAAAGGCATATAGCAGGTATTATAGATGTAACTTTATATGATATCTAATCAGAGAAAGTATTGAATATTTGATGAAATAATTAATAATAAATTATCATTGAAATTATTTATATATAAAATGCTTATATTCATACTTTTAATGAGTAGCTGATGACAAAGAATATTCATTAATGAATCTACTAAATTGATTTATTTTAGAGAAGCTCTGTTAATAATAGTAATTTCAACATAAAGATTGTATTACAAATTCAGAAATTATGAAAATGTTTAATAAAAAATATGGCTCATATTACAAGCAAATATGTTTTTGTTGCATAACTATTAGTCTTGGAGTACTATTTAATATCTTTAATATTGAGCTTTATTTTTATTAAAATTGTGAACTAAATAAAAATAAAGAATTATTAAAAATTTATCAATCTTTCCTTAATTATAACGTTTACTTGGCAATACAAGTTGGAATCGAAACTCTTTTTTTAAATTATAAAGGATTTTTGAAGACTTTTAATTGTATAATGAGTATAATGAATATTATATGTATTTTAAAATATTTTGTTTAGGTGAATTTGAAAAGAAGGTTATTGCAACAGCAGGTGCCGTAGTTTATCCAATTGTCTTCAAAACTACAAGAGGCCCTATAAGATTCCACGTTTGGGATACTTGTGGCCAAGAAAAGTATGGTGGTGTCAAACAGGATTTTTTTGAAAAAGGTATTAAGAAATTTTAAATCTTTGATTGGACATATTTTGTGGCTTACTGGTTAGAGCTATGGACTTTGAATCTGAAGTTTCAGGTTCGATATTCGCCTCGGGCAGCTTAATGTCAAGCAGCAGTGACATCGGTTTTCACTTGGAAGTATAGATAGCAATACGTTTCCAAGTAAAATAATAATAGCAAAATTAATAAAATCACCCAGCATTGTTGCATCGAAAAAAATCATCAGTCTTATATAAATCGTAATAAAATTTTATTATATAGAGATAGAATAACCATTTGGGTTGCCATCTGTAACCGTTTAAGAAATCAGCACAACAGCTAATAAGACTTCTTAAGTTCTAATTGCTGTTAGAACAAAATTATGGTGAAGTTATTAATTTACAAGAAAAATACTTAATATTTTGTTGAATTGAACGTTTTTTAAAAATTTTGCATACAAATATATTTTTTTTTTTATCAATCTTGATTAATTGTTTGAAGAATTGTAACATAAAGGATATACTGTGAAAAAATTTTTTGGTCCATTTTTCAGAAAATTGGGCTTGAATAAAATTTTAAAATTATGAAATGGGAGAGGCTTTTATATAGTAATTTCTGTTCTAATAAATGTTCCCAGTTTTGGTTCATACTAAAAAACTCGAAAACTATTTGAGATTTACGAGTTTACACTGTACAACTATAATAAAATTAGACATTAGAAATTTCATTCAATGATATGACTTCAAAAAATTACTCTTTACTAAAATTTTGATATCAGTTTCTGTTTTGTTTCTCCGACTTTTTTTACATCTACAATTACATAGTAATGAAAATTTTAATAGAGTGCTACATTTGTAGATATTGGGCAAAAAATCTGTTCAAATAGTACAAAATAGTAGTCGTAGACCAAATAATATTTTTATTTATAAGTATATGGTTCAAAAATAATTCCAAAAATTATTGTAATGCAGTCAATTATTATAATACATATATAACATCTTCATATGCATATTATAATATATACAAAACTTATGCATATTTGTCAATGCATTTCAACTAGTTTATTACTTTGCATCCGGCAATTGCAGCTGTTATTGCATTAATGTTCTACCACACTCACATTGGCCCCAATTTCCCTCAATTATCATTACGCGACAAGTTTCTAATTATAATTAATTAACCATTTATTATTTCTATTAGGTGATTGCGCCATTCTATTTTTCGATTTGACATCCAAAATAACGTACAAGAACATCATGAAGTGGAATACCGAAATACTGCGATTTTGCCCGTGCATTCCTACTGTTTTGTGCGGCAATAAGGCTGATTTGAAAGAGAGGAAAATGAAAGCTAAAAGTGTTATGAATCATAAACAAAGAAATATGCAGGTATATTATTTATATAATATGTTATTTATAGCAGAGTTAGAGTTAGCCATAGTAAGAACGTGGGTTACCAACGAGTAGTTGTGGGTTCGATGCCCACCTTGGCCAGCTTGATAAAGATCAGTAGTGGTATCAGAGTTTCACTTGAAGTTATTGATGTGAAATATGATATCAAGTGAGAATAGCATTTCAAGGCTTGATGTGATATATATTTACAGCACTATTGAAAATATACCTAATATAATCTTTTTCGGAATGGGAATGGTAAATAATTAGGTTGCCTTCTAGATGCCTTCTAGAAATGCTAAGTTAAGGAATGTATATCTCAGCAACTTATAGTTTGGTTGCATTGCTTTGGATGCTGTTCAACTAAAAACAATTATACCAGAGTACATTGAGATGCGATATTGAAAAACTAATTTTTTTCCCCAAATAGAGTAGAATATGCAGACCTACTGCATACGTTTTCTTCTAGTCTATTCTATTGAAAAATGTGTGCAATTTTCTTTAACCCACACCTCATATTAATTACTGGGAAGTGGGACAAAAAACAATGTATAAATAAATGATTATAGAGCCATAAATTGCTCACATTATATTTATATAAAATGCGCTCTAAGAATGATTACAAAGATACCATGAAAAACAAGATTATCCTTTAAGACTACATAAACTTATATATTTATTTCAAACTAGCTGACCCGGCAAACGTTGTTTTGCTAAGTAAGGTATATTCTAAACAATTTTTAGAGAATCAAAAAAAAATTAATACATGAAGTGTATAAGGATGTGTTATTGGAATGCTATATACAATGAGGTATTTTAAAAACAATAAACCCCATGTCTTTATTTTGCCAATACAATCAAACTGGAAGTTTTATACACTTAAAAACACGGTAAAAAACATATGTAGAAGCAGGGCGAGGCACAAAGATTCAATGTGACTTTGAGCAAATATTAATTATGTTATAATAATCAAACCAATTATATCACTGCAAATAACACATTTCAAACGAACAATTATCTGACTACGTTCAGTAAAGCTACCAGCTACTTCTTTGTTGTAGTAATATTTTTTCATGTCTTTCAAAATTTGTTATCTAGACCTTTTTACCCCAAAGACGGAGTAACTTGGAACGGCCAGGTGGCAAACAGGTTTAATTTTACAATATAATTTCATTTTTAACTAACCAACAAAAAAAAATACTTTTATTATGGATTTTCAAAGATTACCGTTAATCAAGGTTATAGCTGGTTATGCAACTTTTTCCTTCTACTTTCAAATAATGTTGTTAAACAATGCCTAACTTTACTGGTTTTTGATACATCGGTGGTGGACCTTTTTAACCCCGCACCTTCATATATTACTATCTATTCCTCGATAAATTCTAGGAAATTATAACTGGGAAAATGCTATTCGACAAAATGTCCCGATATTTGATCGATACCAAATTTAGGTTCTGAATTTAAATAACATAAATAAAAAATAATATAACCTAGAAAATGTTTTATAAATACCAATGAGTATATAATTATACAAATGAGATCTTTCAGAACACCTTGTTCGAAAAAAAGATGCCAAAAATTGCATTTTCATATTAACATTTCAAAAAAGTTGATATTTTGAATTTCTAGTAACACTTACGGCCCGTTTAATAACGTTTTTGTGTATAAATAAAACTACAAATCAAACTACTTACTACAATTTATTCATAATTAAATAATTTTCACGTAAAAGATCATATTAAAAGTAATTGAACATCATCTATCAAAAACGTTTGACATTTCACGTAGTAGCCACCGTTCATTGTTTTATTCAAATTACGCTTGTACAAAAATTTTCAAATTAAAAATGTAAAGTTTCTACGCGATTTTGAAATATTTTGTCACCTTTCCGACAATCTCTCGATTGGCACGAATTTTTCAAGACTAAGACTGGTCAAATCGGTTTAGCCGTTTTCGAGTTTTACTGAGACATTTGAAAGAGAGCTAATAAAGAGAAAGAGACCGTTTTTATATATAAGATAAAGTACACAGTTTCATGAATTCACTTCAAATTGAAACCATAACCCAAGGAAATAAAAAAAGACGAAGCTATTAACGAAGTTTTTATGCCAGTGTGACTATCCTAGTTTCAATAAAGTTATTTATCACTTAGAGTTAAATTATTCCAAATTCTGATTTGTTGTAGTAGTTTTGAAATACAATTTTATTGAAAATTATTAGAAAATCTTGAAATATGTTGTAGTACCTGGTCTATTACTGGGTTGATCGCTGGCTCGTAAAGCAGTGACTCCTATGCGGAAAACACTCTTGTAGTAAAAGGTTTTTTTTATATAAATCTTGACGAAACGTTTATTATATCGATTTCCTATTAAGAATCCTCATATTTTGGAAGTGGTCGGAGTCCCTGCTTTTTTACAGACTTTCTTGCTATCGTCGTATGAAAATATAATATTTTTTTATTTTCTAGTATTTCGAAATATCAGCGCGTTCGAATTACAATTTCGAAAAGCCGTTTCTTTGGCTGGCTCGATTATTATTTGGAGACGCTAGCCTGGTATTTTTATCATCTGCGATTTTAGCACCTCCTGATTTTTCGATGGACATCCATTGGAGACAAAAGATTGAAGCTGATTTGTTGCAAGCACGGCAAGAAGCAAACGCTAATAACCCATCTTGAGTTTAATTTATGATTTTTATTTTAAATTATGTAAGTAGTTTAATTTAAATTATATAAGTATATAGTTAAATCATGTAAGTAAAATATGCTGTGATGTTATGTTATATATATTTAGTTAAATTACATGTATATTAGTTAATTTGTTTTTAATGGTTAGTGTTCATTTGAATTCACTACTGTGGTTTTTAATAACGCAATGACTACTAGTTTTTTATTAGTTTTCATTAATGCATTAGTATTTTTTTTTAAAATTTACATTATTTATAATAAGGAGTGATATAAATCAAAGCATATCCTTTTATTTTGAATTTATGCTGACTGATTTCTTAAAAAAGTTATATCATTCTTCGTTTCAGTTGCAAATTAAAAATAATTTTTTATCAATTAACATATTTTACAAAACCAAATTATAATTGTTGACAAACATTTTCTGTTCAATAAACATGAAAAATTCTATTTTTCATGTAATTTTGTAAACAACATGGGCGATGGAGCGTTTATTAAAATAACATAGTTAACATTTAATAATAAAAATAATTTCCACTGAAGGTGCGACCATTTTTGAAATTAATATATATTTTGAATTTTGAAATTTTCTTTCGGGCTAATATTCCAAACTTTGATAAATTTTATAAATAAACCACTATTTATGACCTTATGATATTTCTCAATTCCGTTATTTTGTTCGGCAATGTTCGACAACTAATTATGAAGAAACGGCTTGGCTAATCTTTACCGAAAACTTTATTAGGACGATTCCCAGCTAATATACGAGGTCTGTTCAAAAAGTTTTCGTAATTTTCGTTTTTTCAAAAAAATATTTATTTATTCGTCTACATTAATGTGGTCCCCTTCAAAGTAGTCCCCCCCAGATATAATACACTTATGCCAGCGTTTTTTCCAATTTTCGAAGCACCCTTGATATTCACTTTTTGATATGTCCTTGAGCACTCTCGGCGATTTTCTTCAATCGAGGAAAACCGCCGTCCTTTCATGGGTCTCTTCAACTTTGGGAATAGGAAAAAGTCACACGGAGCCATATCTGGTGAATTTTTGCACTTTGCAACACTTTATTTCATTTTTTACGCAAAATTTAATACAAATTCTTTGACTTTTTCAATTCTTCCATTGTAAAAATCGCCGAGCTCAGAAAAACACGTCGAACCTTAGCGACTACCACAGACAAAGTAAACAGTGAATATAGCTGAAAATTTCATCATACTTTAGGGGCATGTATACCAACACAATAAAAAAAAAATTTTGACAATCAGACACTCCAGACCCGCGAAATTTAATTATTAGTAATTCCGGGTACTTTTTGAACAGACCATGTATAATATAGGTATATAATATTTCACAAAAAGCTAAATCTTTGTCGATAGGAAATTAATATCATTTGAACAAAAAAACTTAATAAAAAAAATTGATATTTGTAAATTTTGAAATTTAAAAAAAATGGCTTTTTTAAAAAAATGTATTTTTTTCATATTTTGAAATATTTTGGAAATTTTAATTTTTTTTTAAAAGCAATCGCGCTGCTTTAGCTACATAGAGACGAAATATGGAAGCGCGTAAGCGCCACATCGCAGTCTAACGGACTAACAATGTTTCCGGAACTCATAAACAAAACTTATACTTATTATTAAAATTTCTATAAAATATCTGATAATTTGAAGTGCATATGTCTCATGATCATTTTTGTCCGCCAAATGGCATTTTTTTTATTTTTTTTTATTGGATCTTCAAAACTGTTAGTGCTGTCTTTTCACAAATTTCATCTGATCGTCAATGTTTTTTGTATCACTATAATAGTTCTCTCCAAACTTGAATTATCATTTTTGGCACTTTTTGCCCCGTATCTTCTAAACGGCTCGACCTGCCTTTGCAAAAAACTAATCATCACGTCTCCTTATTAATAGGAAACGAATGTTTTTTTTGAATCATTTAAATTTGTTGTCGACGAAAAATTGTATCCGCACATACATTTACACACACACATGCACATACACATACACACACATACACTCACATGCATTCACATACACTCACACACATATTCTCTCTCACACACACACAAGATGAAAAAGATGAGTATAAAATCAGGTTAAGAATTATAACATTCTAGATCCTCCCCCTACGTAGTAATGCCTAACGGTGGTTTCCGTGGGAACCAGAGGCAAGGGCAAAGCGGAGATTTTAGTCGGTATTATATTAAGTCGACATACCCAGACAAAACACCAGTCTTCGCTAGACAACAAACAACAAAAAAAAAACACACACATACACATACACACACACATCTAGTTTTTCTGAGGTATGCCAAAATGTTCAGAAACCTTTGAAATGTAAAAATTTTCATTTTCGATTTTTTTGCGATTACTATAACTTACTCTACGGGAAATTATTAAATGTTAAATGACGTTTTCAATCAAATACGCTTAGGGTTAATATTCAAAATAAAAAGAATACAAAGTTGCCGCCAAAAACTATAGAAAGTAGTACCGCCTGGCACGCATGTAAACCTGTTTACAACATCATACAACTTCGCACCGCTTCATTTACATTCATATAACCCGAAAGGATAATTACGAAACATCGATTAACTCGTTTAATTGCATATTAATGTACTTGTACGGTACCGATAATTGATTAAATCGTTTATATAATTTTCCATTAATTTAATTTCAAATTCGGCACCATTAAATACTATTTTCTGTCAGTAGTGGCAGCACCATTCCGCGTCCATGTTCATGTCACTAGTTGATCAGATGTTCTGAACTCTTATGCATGTTGCTTGTGCAAAGTCATTTGTGAAAACTAGTTTTACCACTGTTTGGTATTTCTGAGACGAAATAAAATCAAAACATTTTACGCATTAATTTTATTTCATAAATGCAGAACGTTTCCTTGTTATATAATTATTGAAGTTTGCAGGTTGAAAATTGAGGTTATAATTGTGTTTACGTGTCAAATTGTTTTGGAAAAATGCCGGACAGCGAACAGGTAAGTTTTTTTTGTTAATTTTTTTATATTTACAAGAACTATTATATTTGTAACATTCGGCTAATGATTTTTTATAAAGCTATGTTGTTAGTAATATTGTTGTCAAGTATTTTTTGATGGATTAAAAAGTCTTGCAAATGTTGTTTATTAGAGATTTCAAGTTTATTAAGTTGCTTTCTTGTAAGTTATAAACAATGTATAAATGGTTTTAATAGTTTATAATAATTATTGAAGCAAATAATAGGGAAATGCTTTTATTATTCATTGAATTAAAAGTTTATTAATTTCTTGGAATAAGTATTTATAGTTTTTTGAGTTTGACTTATATAGTTTGTAGTTGAGGAACTGTAAATAATAAAACAGCCCTTTGATTTAATTTAGTTATACGATAACTAACCTTTTAGTTAATTTTTTCCCATTACTGTGCTTGATTCATGCATTTTTATTTACTTCCAGTAGGGTATGTTCGCAAAAAAAATGAAAATGTATTTTTTACATATCTTTACGTTTCAAAGCCCTCTGAACATTTTGGCATACCTAAGAAAAAAATGATGTATGTGTGTGTGTTTGTGTAGGTATGTATGTATATCTGTGTGTATGTACATATGTACAGATACAATTTTTCATCGACGATTTCGAGAGCACGAATCAACCGATTAGAATGGTTCAAAAAACATTCGATTTCTATTGATGGGAAGACGTGCTAATTAGTTTTTGGTAGAGACAGGTCTAGCCGTTTCGAAGATACGGGGCAAAAAGTTCCAAAAACGGTAATTCAGTTTTTGATAGAACGATGTACTCGATTTGAATGATTCAAAAAACATTTTACTTGTATTGATGAAATGAAGAATTGATAACATTTTTGGTGAGGCAGGTTTAGCGGTTTTGGAGATACAGAGGAAAAAGTTAAAAAAAAGATATGCCTAATGATCATTTTTGACTGCCAAATGGCATTTTTTTTTTACTTTTTTTTACTAGATCTTTGAAACCGTTAGGCCTGCCTTTCCAAAAATTTAATTTGTTCTTCACCATGGCAATACAAGTAAAATATTTTTTGAATTATTAAAATCGGACGCTCCGTTCTCTTAAAAACAGAGGTACCGTTTTTGGCACTTTTTGCGCCGTATCTTCGGAACCGCTATACCTGCCCTTGCCAAAAACTAATCAGCACGTCTCCTTATCAATACGAATCAAATGTTTTTTAAATTATTCAAATCGGTTGATCCGTGTTCCCGAAATCATCGACGAAAATTTGTATACGCACACACGCACACACACATACATACACCCATTTTTTCTAAGGTATGCCAAAATGTTCAGAAGGTTTTGAAACGTAAAGATATATAAAAATATTTATTTTCGATTTTTTGCGATTACTATAACTTACCCTACGGGAAGTTAAGAAGTATAAATTTTGCTTAAATTTTTATGAGTTCCGTACCAATATTTATAATGTTTGCTCATTGGACTACAGTGCGACGCTTCCGCGCTTCGATATTTTGTTTCTAAAACAGCAACGCAGCGTGATAGCTTTAAAAAAATCTAATTTTTGAAAAAAAATTGAAATATAAAAAAAATCAGTCTTCAAAAAAGTCAACTTTTTCAAAAATCTAATTTTTTCAGTTTCCAAAAAATTGTAAAGTTTTTAAAAATTTTAAATTACGGTTCACAAAGTACCAGCAATTTGCCTTAAGGCAAATGCAGTAGTGCGTTGCATTTTATGATCATAAATATTGAGAATGAACTAAAACATCATAAAAATATACTTTTTAAGTATAAGTTGAACAAAACCATGGTAAAAATTCACTTTTTAAGTTTAAATTTGTTTTTACTTAACAAGCCCAATATTTTTAATGTCTTGTTAAACCCCACTGTCTGATATTTTTGCGGTCCACAAACCTCTAGTTTTTTTTAAAAAAAAAATTGTTATTGGTTGTATGAACTATTACATTTGGCCACTTACAATTTATTTGTTTTTTGTCATTCTTTACTCTTTCAACCACAAATTTTGAAGTCTATATAAAGTTATTCGAGTCTAAATCAATTTATTTTTGTATGCAAGCACTCGACCCGGATTCGATCCAAGTACCCCTGTATCGGCGAGTGTCGGGTTAATAAACGCTGATATATATTTATTATACACATTTGTTATATTTAAGAGATAAATCTAATCTGTAGTTTTCAATTCCAACTTTGAAAAAATATTTTAGAAATAAATAAATGAATATTTTACATACTTTTTACTTTTTTTTTTTAAATAACTCTAGTAAATACGTATATTTAACTTTTCTCGTTGTTGTTTAAAATTGATCTTAGCTAGATCAAATTTATTTTGATTTGAACGTGAACCGTTGCAAAATAGATTTACATAACTTGTTTATATGTTGTGGATCATTCATAATATCGATTAAGGAATATTTGAATTGGATAATTAATATTTGGTGATCCCAGAATTTTTTTTATTATAATATACATAAAAATTATAATCAGAACTTCATACCAAGCAGGATATAATAATTACTTACTAGTATCCTATTTATACACTAATCTCAAATCATACCTTTGTCATACTAACATTTTAAGACTTGACCAGAAATTTCATTTTTGAATTAATTTTGCAAAGTAAATAAAAAAATGAAAACAACTTCTCTATAAAATCATATTACATTAATGAATTGCTATTGCTATGTTTTTGTCATACTTGCAAACAGAGAATGCTTTGTCATCAAGGTATTTCCAAGTCTATTTTTTAACATATAAAAAGTTACAAGTATGTATTTGTTTCAAATGTTTTGAACTGAAGTTGATAGTTTTTAGTTTAAACTATTGTGAGCATACAATGTTATAGTTGTATATTTTTTTCGTAGAATATACAATATTTGAATATTTAATATATTTAATATACAACTGATTGAAATTAAAATTTATTTCAGAAATAAGAGATTTTATATCATTTTTTATGGAATCAAGTAACGTTTATGACGCAAAACAACTGTTGAATAAATATAAAATTGTATTAGAGAGAAAAAAAACATCTGAAGAAAAATGCATTTTAAACAAGATAAGAGTTTGTCGACGGTACTCAAATTTTTATAAAAATTATGTGAAATTTCATTCTTTCTCAAATAAATTTTAATTTTAATTAGTTGTATATGAAAGTATAATACAAATTTAAAATTTACTTTTCTATAAAATCACTATAGAGTTTTTGCAATACTTACAGAGTAGATTTTAATAGTTTCAAATGTTTTTATTGAATTAATTATTGATGGTTTTAGTTTTAAACTATCGTTAGCATATAATACTATAGTTATAGTATGTTTATTCATAGAATTTCCAATATTTGAACTCTTGATTTTTAATTTCAATTAAAAAAAAAAAAATTCAATTATTATATTATATAGTTTCCTCACTCAGTTTAAATTATCTTTTTCGAATTGTCTGAAAGATGTAAAAGATTAACTCATATTTGTATAATATCTAACCTTTAATATATTTAATATATAAGAAGATTTATATTAAATTTAATATTTCTTTAAAAAAAAGAGTGCGCGTAAGATTCACACGCAATTGAAGTAAAAAATTTTTGCTACTGTACAAATGGCATTTAAGTGAAAATAAGTACATCATATAACAATTTTGAATAATGTTTATTAGTAATATGGTAGCACTCGTGATGCACACATATATTAGTGTCAACCATTATACACATTTATATAATGATAAATAATAAATTATATATTTATAATAGCATTAAATAAATAAATATAATATGTATAATATTTGAAAACAATAATGTAACTAAAGTCATACTTCAAATATGTCATGATCGGTTTGTCATTGCAATTAGCATTTAGAAATGAACCTTCATTAGAGAAATGAAATAATTGCTGATTAATAAATTCTATAATATTCGTTCACACACAGTGGATTATGTTAAACAACGTCTAAATGAATATTGTTTTCGCAATTTCACTCATTATGTAATTGTGTTTGAAGAACTTCATGTAATTAAAAGTAACATACATTCATTGACTGCTTGTATTTTTTTTACTTTTTCGCTGGCGATATAATATCATTCTTTGAATAGATGTAATATCTGTCTTGTCTATAAATATTTTCTATTTTAATAGCTTCAAAGATTTATAGAAACTACGAATAATATAGAAATAATTTCTAATCAATAAACTTAAGTTTAGGTAAATGTTTAATTTGTTTTATTATTTTCAAGCAACAGGGTAAAATATTCTTCTGATTCAGGCATTTTTCATTAAATCAAGATTTGTACTACGATGTAACTTTAAAATGTTTATTTATCTATGCCGATTTCCTTGTTGATATCGGAACGCATACAACGTTGATGCCGGTACGCATACAACGACAGATCTTTATTCACGTACACGACGACTAATCACAATCGACCCGTATAGAAATGATTTCATCCAGAGCCGTAACGCACTTCCGCTGCATTTGTACGGATTTACACCCTAGTCGTGCCTAAAGAAGTTTTACTTCAATAATGAATTTTTTACATAAATTTTTATGGAATTTTGAGTGGTGGACGACGAACTAACATCTTATTAAAAATCATTTTGTTTTCTTCTAATGTTTTTTTTTCTCACCCAATTTTAATTTTACTTTAACAGTTGTTCCAAATATGTAAAAGATCAACTTATATTATTATAATATCTAACCTTTAATATATTTAACCCTTTCCACTCGGATGCAGCCGTTCCGGCGGCAAAATTCAAGTAAATCTCCGAATTCGCGAGTGGAAAAATAAAATGAGTGGAAATATAAAAAGATTTATATTAAATTTAATATATTTTTTTTAAATAATGGATTTTTTTACATCAATTATTATGAAATTTCGAATACAAACGTTATTAACGACGAAATTATTTCTTATTAAAAATGATTTTTTTAACTTCCCGTAGGGCAAGTTATAGTAATCGCAAAAAAATCGAAAATGAAAATTTTTATATATCTTTACGTTTCAG